AGGCCCGTGGCAGTGCCGCTTGTGATGAGCGATGCTGGGCTTCGCTGTATTGAAGTAGTGCAAGTACGCCTTTAAGCAGCTGCTGCTTCCCGGGCAGCCAATGTGGAATAAGGCCTCTTTGCAAGCAACGCTTTGAATTTTAGACGAATTCGAATGAACGCAGTGAAATCTGCCTCACTAAGGTAAGAAGTGTACCCGATTTTCCAGGCAGTTTACATGAGGTGTCGGCACCGGGCGCTGCATGGTTTGGGAGCCATTCTCTACTGACGTTCCTGAGGTCAACATTATTACCGGTAGGGACATCGTGGCGGGAAATATCATCTACTGAAGTACTTTTTCGCAGTTGTCCTTCGCTACCTTTATCCTGCCACATCAAAGGCTTTTATGTGCAAGGAAGTTGCACAGCTGCATAAAAGATCAGCCAACCAGTCTGCGCCTCTTAGTAGGATATGATCTTGCAGGCGGATGCACCATTACCGGCCCAGAAAGCCAAAGTCTCAGGATGTGTATCATTCTGTAAATCCGCCTTTCCCTTCGCAATTTTATCTGCGGTGGGCTAAATAATAGCACTTGTGACCCGTACTTCCGAAGTTGAATCCCTTAGCTCCTCCTACGTAGATCCACCAAAACGCACTCGCTACAGTCGTTTAGATAGACTTAGCCTAGAGAAGAACAGAGCGTTGCAAAGTCATAGCCCGCAGCACGTGGACATCTGCAACGGGACTCATCAATGAGCAGCCCATCTGGGGCATGTAGTGGCACCAAACTAGTGGCATCATGCTTGTGTGTTACGATTCATTGCATGGCCATCACCAGATGTAGGCCCTTTACACGACTGGCAGTTCCTCTCTCTTTGTGAATTGGAAAGGGTCGTGAACTGTAGAGCAAGCGAGCCTCTTGCGAGTTTCTTGTATTTATAGGAGCAAAGGCGATATGACATACCAAGGTAACAAGTTTAAATTAATGCGCAGGGGTGAGGAGGGGCGAGCGAGCTACAGTAGTACATCTTTCCCCCAGAAGGTCAGTCTATTTCACTGAAAAATTCTCATTTTCAGGTCAAGGTCGGTCCTTCCTAGCCTGCGCCCTCTGGGGGAAGCTTTCGTCGGCTCTCCCGGCAGAAGCTGGGGGCCCTTCACGCTTATCAATTGCTGCTCTGCAGCAGGTGAGTCCCAGCCACCCTCAAGAACGGTACCCGCTCTTCAGTGACACCCACAGCATCTTGTTTCGTCAGACTGACCATACATTTTTGGTTGGTCTAACAAAACTCTAGAAAAAAGAGTCAGCTGCAATCTTAAAGGAGGAACGTTAAGGAGCATTTTCTCCGCTTCAGGCGGGGGCAAATGCGTTCTTGTCGCTTCGGAGCTGGGGCCACTGCAATCCTCTGGGCAACTCTTCTGTAGCTTTATATAACAATATAGCTGAGGCATGCAAAGCGTATGTTGATGGGTCATAAGAGGTGAAGTGACAACTGCTGGCTCACCATACCATGCTAGTTGACGGAAACGCTCTTTTTGACTTCAGCTGGCAGCGCGACGCAAGTTGCTCGGCCCCGCATTCTTGGCATTTGCCCAGAAGCCTGATCTGCAGCGTGGGAGGCTGTCTGTCAGAAAAGATATGATTGCTCAATTTTGGTATTTGGGGGGCCTCTCGTTGCCATCAAGAAGTAGAAGGCTGTCTGAAAGATGCGTCTTTTCGCTGAATTCGCTGTCTCTCGCTAGACGGAATTTTTGCTCTTTCCCCTGATTTTGAGCTGTTTGAAAACAGGCGTTCCTGCCACGAAATTGTCCTTTTGCATTTTAGATGTTACGGCAAGAGAGAGCCTCGCTGATCAGACAAGCGGGGCCGTCTGGAGGGTGGGTAGAAAGGCTCCTACGGAGTGAGTGCTAACTCTGCCTGGGTCTGCGGGCCCGTAGTCTCGGGCGCTGAAGTCCAACCAGAGTGCCAACCTGCTGCTGGAACTGCTGAATGAGAGGAGAATACGGATTGCAACAACGTGTACTCTTTAATGGCCGTGAGTGCTGTGGAAAGTAGCATACGTGACAAGATAATATCTGCGGGGGACAGCAGGGGAGAAAGCCGGGGAATGTAAGTGACGAGGATGAGCTCCTGTAATGTGTTGAGACGTGTAGCCGCCCATTGTGGTGACTTCATGCCTTGTATGCGTCTTCTTATTTCTGATCAACCGTACAGCTCAAGAGAATAGCGAAATGAAATGCATGACTTGAGCCCATGGTTCTAATTGCATCACTGCCTAAGAGGCGGCCGCACTTGGCGTGTATCGCTCCAACGTGGAAAGGCTCCTACGCCTATCTGTCCTGTTCTGGCTACATAGTCTCGTACCTATCGTTACTTACCAAAGACAACAGCACTATATGTCCTGGTTTTCGGAACACTACCTCTTGCCAACCCAGAACCCTAGGCATAACTGCAGAGCACAAGAGGCCTTTCCGCCTAAGGATTGAGTCGCTTTGCACAATAAATGCCTTCTTTTATTACGCCGATCTACACATTCTGAATTATAAGTCCCTCAAGTCCATTTATGCGCGGCATTGGAGTGCTGCACAATGCAGTGACTCTTTTGCCAGTTTCCTCCTTCGCATTCGAGGAAGAACCTGGAAATTGACTTCTCTGAGTGCAGTGGAATGTTTCCCTGAAACATTCCTCCCGTGCGCAATGGGCTATTTGATGCATGTATGTGCAAATCATAGACCCACTCCCTTGTTTTAACGGAGTGGTACGGCGAAGGATTTCGATGTTCTCATACATATGCTCGTTCCCTCTTCCTTTCATTACTATAATTACGTTACTACTTTAACTATAAAGTAAAAACGTGATTTCAGTAAGTCAAGAGATTGCACTGGCCCCACAGGGAAGTCTACGCGCCCGAGTGGCTTGCTGTACGGGTTCGCTTTTAAGCTCCAGCACTGCGGCAGTTGGCTTAATACCTTTGTGCCTGCGTCGTCAAGGCAGACAGGCTAGCTTATGCCTCGCCACGAACACGAGAATGTGATTTGCCTTTTGCTCAAAACATTCCATTGCTGGAAGACGCTCCAAGGCTTTTTGCTGGCCAGAGCCAATTCTTCCATTTTTAGCGTGAACAGGGCCAGCGATCTGGCCCTGCTTAAATCTGAGAGCTTGATATGATTTCTCCAATTTGCGAATAACTGGTGAAGATAAACGCTCTTGTAGCCCGAGAGGCACAGGCAAGGGAAGATATGCAAGAAAAGTCTGCTAGCCGTATAGCTCAAGCTGAGAAGGGGCAGCCGTGCCTTTCCAGGCTGATAACTGAATAGCTAAAGTTGCTTTGCTCATGAAAAGGGATAGTCCTTAGGGCCTCCTGCAGCAGCAGGCTAGCGAGCCAGTTTAAGTACAAAGAATATTGCACCACTGTGCTGCTGTAGCTGTCAGGCTTGTGCAGCATAACGTGCTGCTTCCTTACACTTTGATATGATCACGGAAACCCCTCAAACAATATCCCTTTCATCGCAACAAATACTTCAAAAGTCTTCCATTATGACAGCTTCTAGGCAGCCCGGCGCGAAGAGGTCTGGCCTATACCAAGAAAACGCCAAATGGTCTGCTTCAGGCATATCTTAAAGTCCAAAACTTGAAGACTGGAATGGCTTGAGAGTGTTAAAAAAGTGCAAAAGCAAGTTCATGGGCCCCCCTGAGAGCCTAAAATGTCTTGAATGCCCAGCAGTTGCGGCGAAGACAGGGGCAGTCAACACTGCAGCAGAAAACAGCCTTATTAAGAAGCTAAGTGGGCCAACTGGGTCTGCCTTTCAAGCCAATTCTGGCTTCGCCCATAAACTGGCTGTTTACCCCCAATCTACAATCTGAACTTAACCCCGGGGGGCTTTGTCTTAGGCCACAGCCTCAACTTCGTTCCACAGCACTGCGCTGAAAGGCCCCGAGGGGCCCCACAGCCTCTGCAAGACAACTAAAAAGCTAAAGAGATCTAATGGCTAGCCGGGGGCAAAGCCCCCAGCACTTTTGCTGCTGCGCTGGGGGCCCCCTGCGTTGCCCCAGCTAGCTGCTGCCCCCGTGGGGCCCCTGCGGCCTTTGAGCTAAGACGAAGTCCTTCTACTCTAGCTTGCTGCGACTAGCTGCAGCAGCAGCAGCTGCCTAAAACTGCCCAAGTGCTGCTGGGGCGAGTTTGCTGCTGCGGTGCAGCAGACCCCCCACTGCCTCCTTGTACTGCCTGCTGCTGCTGCTGCTGCTGCCGCTGCTGCTGCTGCTTGCTCTGCTAAGCTCTGGGGGGAAGCTGAAGCGCTGGGGCCGCCAGCTGCTGCTCTAGGAAGCCGCGGCTGGGGTTTGGTGCCCAGAGTTTGGGGGGCAGCAGAGGAGAAGAAAGAGACAAAGAGCCTGGCTTGTCTTTTGGAAAAACTTCTTTTTCAAATGAGCAGCAAATGGGAAATGGTCTTTGAGTGTTTCCGGAAAAGAAGTTGGGTGGGGCCTGGAGAGGCGAAAGGCGGCGGCCGGCTGTCTTTACGGCGCGGGAGGCTCTTTGAGGACGCGGCCGCGAGAGAAGTCCATTAATTTATAATTGTTTGGATTTATTTGAAAAGATGCAAAGAAGAGGCTGGGGCGACGGGCAGAGACAGACATGCGCATAGGCTTCTCTCTGCCAGCTAGCAGCAGCAGCAGCAAGAGCAGCAGCAGCAGCAGCAGCTGCGCCGCCGTACCCACAGCCCGTCCCATTCCGCTACACCTGTTTTCTGCTTCTTTTCCCTTTTCTTATTCTCCGCTGTAGCGCCTGCAAGGCCGAGAAGAGAGCCGACGGGCTCAGCAGCAGCTGCTGCTCAGTTGCAGGCTGGCTGCTGGAGGGTACATACACCTGAACTCGACAGCAGCAGACCGCGCAAACCCTCCAAAGCTGCTGCTCCAGTTTTGTTCTTTTCCTTGCGAAGGGGTCCCTGCTGCGTGTCCTCCGTGGCATTCCGAGCCGCCAGCAGCTGCAGCAGCAGTGCAGCAGCAGCAGCAGCAGCGCGTCTGAAAGGATGCCAAAGGCTTTGCTGCTGCTGCAGCAGAGTGGATTGCCTCGCAGCTGCTGCACTGGCAGTGTATGGACACCTGCTGCCATGCAGACGCCTCCAAACCCTTCTGGGGTTTCCTTCACCCCTTTGCCTTTGGTGTTTCCCCCAGTAGAGCCCTGCCCCCTTTTTGCTGCTGCTCCGGAGTCTGAACAGGCCGGCCAGCAGCTGCCTGCTGCTGCTGCTGCTGCTGCAGCAGCAGCAGCAGCAGCGGCGCCGGGCGCGGCCGGCGTGGAGCTCGCAGCAGTCCGGCAGCAGCTCCTGCAGCGCATGCAGGAGCTCTCCGCCCTTCACCGAGTCGCACTGGCGCAGCAGCAGCAGCAGCAGCAACAGATGCTGCAGCAGCAGCAGCAGCAGCAGCAGCAGCAGCCAGCCGAAAGCCAGAGGCCCCTTGAGGGGCCGCCTTTGCCCAAAGATGCAGAGGCAGCAGCTGCGGCGGCGCCAGCTGCAGACACAGCAGCAGAGCCGCCAGCAGCAGAAACGCCAGCAGCAGCAGCTGCAGCAGCAGCAGCAGCAGCAGCTGGCCCAAGTGGGAGGGCCCCTGTCCCCTTTCCTGGGGCGCCTGCTGGGCCCGCAGGGGCCCCCGGGGGCCCCCGGGGGGCCCCCGGGGCCCCCGGGGACCCCGGGGGCCCCCATTTCACCTTGGGGGGTACAGAGGGGGGCCCCCAAGAAGGGTCTTGGCTGCAGCAGCATGCGCATGCATTAATGATGGCTGAGATATATGAGGGGCAGCTGCGGCTGTGGCACTCATTTGCTTCGCTGCTGCAGCTGCAGCTGCTGCTGACGACGCAGGAAGCTGCTGCAGCGAAGCTCAGCAGCAGCAGCAGCAGCAGCAGCAGCAGCAGCAGCATAGGGAGCAGCTCGTGGCTCGTGTCCCGGCCGATTGGGGGCCTTGAAAGGTGCCTTTCTCCGTCTTCGTACGCAGCAGCAGCAGCAGCAGCAGCAGCCACTGCAGCAGGAAGTGCAGCAGCAAGCAGCAGCAGCAGCGGCAGACGAGATGTAAGTGCAGCACCGCTGGCAGGGCTGGCCCGAGTCTGAAGCTCCCCGACTGCTGCTGAGTTGCGTGTTGCTGCTGCTGCTGCCGATGCTGCTGCTGCTGCTGATGCTGCTGCTGCTGCTGCTGGTGTGTGTGTCTCAGCCCGTGGCGGCGGGGCGACTTGCTGCGCTGCAGACGCAGCTGCAGCAGCTGCAGCAGCTGCAGCAGCTGCAGCAGCTGCAGCAGCAGCAGCAGCAGCCGAGTGCGGTGGGGGTCCCCGGCGGGGACGTCGCGTTCCGCATGCAGGGTGCTGCGGAGCCAGCAGCAGCAGCAGCAGCAGCAGCAGCAGCAGCTGCTGCTGCTCCCGCAGCAGTTCTTCCTCCCGGCGCGCCGGCGGCCGCCGCGCCGCCGCCGCCGCCCGCCCCCCCCCTGCAGCAGCAGCAACAGCAGCAGCAGCAGCAGCAGCAGCAGCAGCAGCAGCAGCAGCAGCAGCAGCA